GAAAAAGCCCCCAAATATTTACCCAGGAAGAAAAATGGCAAGTTCAAGCTTAGTTTGGGCAATCTAGCAGTTTAGTTAAACCCTGTCTCAAAATATAAAATTTAAAAAAGGCTGGGAATGTAGCTCAGTATGAAGGCCATGGATTTAATCATCAGTGCTTAAAAGAATAAAAAAGAAAATAAAGTGGACTTGAATAAGCAATTCTCCAAAGAAGATATATATGAATGACCAGCAGTACATACAAAGATGCCCCAGGGGGCTTGCGGGTTAGCTCAGTTGTTTAAGCACCCACTGGGGCAAATCCAGTCAGGTGCAGGGGACCAAGGCATGATCCCCAGCTCCTCCTGTCTTACCAGACCCGCCCTTAAGACTGCCAAAAAATAGTCTTTCTTAACTTCAAGGGCTGGCCAAATAGCTCTGCAGATTAAACCACCTGTTTAGGTGAAACAGAGAGGTCAGAGGTTCCATACCCAGCTTGCCATGCCAGCCCTGTCCCAGGGCAAGTTCAGACAGCTATTGAGACTGGGTGTGGTGGTGTGTGCCTGTAATCCCAGTACTTGGGAGGCTGTAAACAGGAGAATCACTAAGTCTGATCTAAGTAGTGAGACCCTGTAGACCCTTACTAAAATACCAAAAATTAAAAAAAAAAACAAAACAATAAAATAGGAGAGGGGAGATGGCTCAGTAAAATAAGCGCTTCCCTGGCAAGCACAAGGGTCTGAGTTCAATCCTGGGTGTGCCAAAAATAAATAAAATACCAAAAGTAAAATAAAAAGATGCCCCAAATCATTAGTTTTTAGGGAAATTCATATCAAAACAAGAATGAGATACCACTTTATACCTACTAGACTGTCTATAATAATTCTTCAAAAAACAAAGTAGCTGAGCATGGTGGTGCATACCTGTAGTTCTAGCACTCAGGGATAGTGAAGTACAAGAATCTCAAATTTGAGTTCTGCCTGGGGAATTTAGCAAGACCCTGTCTCAAAATAAAAAATAAAATAGTTGGACATGGTGGCTCATGTGTGTATTCCCAGCACTGGAGAGGCTGATTAAGGAGGATTGTTGCCAAGTTCAAGACCAACCTGAGCTACAAAGAGAGTTTAAAATCAGCCTGAACCACACAGGGAGACCCTGTCTTAAATACAAAACAGGTAAAAAGACCAGCTAAGTCTACACACTAAGACCTGACTCTGCCTCAAGAACTAAAAAAAAGGAAAAAAGGAAATAAGAAGCCATGAGGGCTAGGGTGTAACTCAGTAGCACAGCTCATGCCTGGCAAGCA